CCTGTCACCATGAATATGATGTTCCGAAGCGCATTACTGCGACTGACTCAAATGCATCTGATGTGTTCCAGTGAACGAGCCTCTCGTGAATAACAAAGCGTTTCCAGCAGCAGAAGTGTGCGTTTGAGGCGAGTCATTCTGATTGACCGATAGCAGAGAATGAGACGCGCCCCGAGAGAGTGTGTGTGTGTGTGTGTGTCTGTAGGATGAGCGCATGCGAGGGGGCTGCAAACCACAGCAGGTTCGGCTGACATCCTGCCTCTCTGTAGCTGCTCCGTCTCACTCCAGCTCCTCGCCACCTCTCAGCCTGTTCCAGGTAAACTTCACCTTACCTACAAAACCTCTTTTCTTTAGTCTTCTTTCTGAATGCGGCTCCAGACAGTCGAGCGGATCGGATCCGTGTGTCGGGGCCTTTCGATCGAGCCGTCGCTCGTGATGTGAGTCTTCATCACTTCCTGCTGGAGACCCCAACACAGAGCCAGATATCATTAAAACATTTCGGCTGTGTGTGTGTGTGTGTGTGTGTGTGTGTTTTCTGCTCTAACATTCACACACTTCTGTGGAGGATCAGTGTGTGTGTGTGTGTGAGTGTGTGTGTGTGTGTGTGAGAGAGAGAGAGAGATTAAAGACGGAGTGTCCAGACACACAGATATGTGCGCTCATAACTGACTGATTAAAGACCGAGTGTCCAGACACACAGATATGTGCGCTCATAACTGACTGATTAGTGGGTATTACTGATCATTGGACAGCTGACACAACTCAACATGCTCTTTACAGCTAAAATTAAACTGTTTCTATGCTCGTTCTGCTGCTGCTGCTTCGTCAAACCGGGTAAAAGCATCTGATTAATGAAAAAATGGAAGAAACAGATCTATATAAGACATCAAATCAAACAGAAATACAGCATCTCCTGTGTAACAGTGTTTGGAATTCTCTGCAAGTTTGTGATGTTTTCACGGTTTGAGTTGTTCTTTTCTACACAACCTGTTTACATCACAACCTGCTCTATAAACTGCAGGTCTTGTTTTGAAAAATTAAGCATTAATTCAAAAGTAAAAAGAATGGTTTATTTGTAAATTACATGTATATCTATCTATCTATATATGAGGAATCGTTTTTAAATGTACCTACATCAGATCTTGCTGTACTTCCTGTTGTCTGATAGAGAGTTCATGCAGATATCCTGCTATAACAGAAGCTGTGTCTAGTGGCTGATGAATGAACACATGTCTGACAGTAATCATGGCTCGTGAGGATTTCACACAGTTCCTCTCTCAGACCGATAGGCGGCGCTCTTCACTCATTCAGACATCATTCATCTCTGTTTCTGCACACGGAAGATCTCATGTAAATACCTCTTATAACACCAGTGAAGTCCAGTTGTTTCTGTCGAAATAATTAGGAAGAGTTGATTACATGAACCCTCACTGATATAGGCCTATTTGCTTTGTTCATCATAATCATATCTGCTCATTCACAAAACCTAATTAGCTGCTTAATTCACCTCAGTATAGACTAGATTCATGAACGCGATTTAAACACAGAATAACAATTATTTATTTTAATGTATTATTATTATTATATTTATATTGTTATTATTTTATTCCTTTCTTTTTTAAGATAAAAGCTATAGGCTAATCTCTGACAAATCACCGAAAAAAGTAAAGAAACAAAACCAAATCTGCTTTATATTTATTTATTTTTTTTAACATAAATGAAATTATTAACTTCGCGGCAAAAGACATAATTCATAGTCCTACGTTAATTTTAAATACATTATGATCAGATGAAAGATATTTAGGCTATATAAAGATACAAAAAAAGAATGTATTTTGCACTACACTTTTTATGCTAAAACGTGTTCGTAGCCTACATGTTCCGTTAATTTAGGAAATCAGTTAGGCTATTAATAATTAGGAAATTCATAATGTACTGGAATTGCTTTAAAAGCAGAAGAGATGAACGCGACTGGAGTTGAATTAAAGGTGTTTTTCAGGTATTAATGTTTAACGTGAGGTTTATCTGTTGGATCATCATGACACATCACTAAATAAATCTGAAACAATTACCTTAATTGAGCCGAACAAAGACGAATCATTAACAGCCGTTTAATACTTCAAAGGATGGATTATTCAAAAATCATAATTTTGCCTTTATTTACTCTCTCATGTCATTCAAACCTGTATGATCCTCACTTCTGTGAAACACAAATGACAGTCTATTTTGAAAAATGTTTGGAACCAAACAACACTGAATCTTATATTTTCAAAATAAAAAACACGTGAGACATTTCTCAAAATATCTTCTTTTTGTTTCGCAGAAGAAAGAAGAAAGCCATACAGGTTTGGAACGATATGATATGAGGGGAGAAGATGATGAGAGTACCTGTGTGTGTGTGTGTGTGTGTGTGTGTGTGTGT